CCCGCACATCCCCGCACACAATCGCACACCCCCGCACACAATCACACGACCCGGATTGATGTGTTCATTGACGCGGTGTGTGTAGATGCTGAGGTTGGTGGAGAAGGCGTTGTCGGATCGCGGCATCACTTCGGTGGTATACACAGGCGACCTGACGCGGGCGAAGCGGGATCGGGCGATTCGCGAGTTCCAACAAACGGACGGCGGGCCGCAGGTGTTTTTGGCGTCGTACGGTGCGGGTTCAACGGGGTTGACGTTGACTGCGGCGAACGTAGTGTACCTCCTTGACCCCTGGTGGAACCCTTTCACGGAGGACCAGGCTATCGACCGTGTCCACCGCATCGGACAGACGCGACCTGTGCGGATCTATAAAGTGACCATGGCCGAAAGCATCGAGCAAGGGGTGGTCGCTTGTCAAACTTCAAAACGAAAGGCAAGCGAAGGCATCCTCGGCAGCAGCGCTGGCCGGCCTACTGCCAGTGTCGGAGTCAGTGTCGGCGAACTCTCCGCTCTTCTCAGCTCTCGACGGTAACCATTCTATTCCGGGGGCGGGCCACTCCGGGGGCGGGCCACTCCGGGGGCGGGCCACTCCGGGGGCAGGCCACTCCGGGGGCGGGCCACTCCGGGGGCGGGCATTTTTTTAGTAAGATTATGGCTGGAGTGGAGACAGAGGGTGTGCAGCGTATCGCGAGGGGATTGTTGCCGGTGCAGAACGAAGTGGTGGCGGACTTTCGTGCGGCGATTGCGAAGGTGTTGCCGGGTGAGGAAGTGCGTGTTGTGGTGGTAGCATCGCAGCCGCAGTTCGGTGACTTCCAGTGCAACAATGCGATGGGTTTGTTTAAGAAGTTTAAATCTAGTTTGCCTGAAGCCAAGAGTCCGAAGGATGTGGGCGAGTTGATCGCAGCTCAGCTGGAACCGGCGCACTACCAGGCGGTGAGTGTGGCTCCGGCTGGGTTCGTCACAGTAAAGTTGGACCCGCGTTGGATCGCACAAAAAGTGTATACGGAAGTGTTAGTGGCGACGAAGGATGCAACGCTGATTCCGTGTTTGGTAGCGAAGGGTCGCAAGGTGGGAGTGGACTTCAGTAGTCCTAACATAGCGAAGGAGATGCACGTGGGACATTTGCGCTCCACGATCCACGGCGAGACTTTGTGTCGTGTATTAGAGTACGTTGGGAATGAGGTGTGTCGCGTGAACCATCTGGGAGACTGGGGGACACAGTTCGGTATGTTAATAGAGTACTTGAAGGAGTCATACCCAAACTATACTCAGGAGCCTCCGAATCTGGGAGATTTGAATGAGTTCTACAAACGAAGCAAGGTTCGTTTCGATGAGGACGAAGCATTCAAAGAACGTGCGAGACGCATGGTCGTGACACTGCAGTCGGGCAATCCAGAGGCGCGTGCGGCTTGGGAGATGCTCGTACGTATTTCGCTACAGGAATTCGAGAAAGTTTACAAAAGGTTAGGTGTCTCTCTGGAAGCCAAGGGTGAGAGTTTCTATAATAGCCTTATTCCCCAGACCGTGGCCATGTGCGAGCAACAAGGGTTGGTTGAAACTGTTGAAGGTGGTGCCAAATGTGTGTTCGAACATGGTCCGGACGCGCGTAAAAATGAAGTACCTTTAATGTTGGTCAAATCCGATGGTGGTTATGGTTATGATAGCACTGATGTCGCGGCTGTCTATCACCGACTCATCCAGGAACATTTCAAGTGGTTTATTTACGTCACCGATAAGGGCCAGGAAGAACACTTCCTTAAAGTCTTCCGCTGCGCCGAACGAATGGGCTGGCACACACCACCGGAGACGCGTCTCGACCACTGCGGCCTCGGCCTCGTTTGCGGCGACGACGGCAAAAAATTCAAGACCCGCAGCGGCGAGGTTGTAAAGCTCGTCGATCTTCTCGACGAAGCCGTCAAACGCTCCCTGCACCAACTCAAAGTGCGACGCGGAGACGCTTTGGTCGAAGTCCAGGCAGCTGAGACAGCGGATATGCGAACATCTGAAATCCAGACGCACAAGGAGGCTGACTCTCGACCGGCTATGACACCTGCGACGGCTACACAGATGGTCGATCCGCAGGTAGCGGAGACGCAGGCGTCAGAGATGCCCGACGACTCTGAATTGTACGTGGTCGCCGAGAAAATTGGATACGCTGCGGTGCGGTACTTTGACATGAGTCAGGTACGTACGGGCAACTACAAATTTAGTTACGATAAGATGCTAGATCCCAAGGGCAATACCGCAGTCTATTTGCTATATGCGTACGCTCGTGTGTGCGCCGTCTTCCGCAAGGCCGGCGTGGACGAATCGGCCATCTACAACCACCTGGAAACAGGGACCGACGCCTTTGCGATCGGCAACGAGTGGGAACGGAAGCTTGCGCTCCAGCTACTTAAGCTCCCCGATGCCTTGGACTCCGTACTCCAGGATATGAGTAATCACAAAATTTGCGAATACGCATACGACACATGCGTCGTCTTCTCCGAATTCTATCAACACTGCCGGATACTCGACGCCCCTGAACGCAACCAACGACTCGCGCTGTGTCTCGCTGTCAAACGTGCTCTCCAAACTGCTTTCCACCTCCTGGGCATGCAGCCTCTTGAACAAATCTAACTCACCATCGACAACTCCCCGGCTCGAATCCCACACACGCCCCATGTCCCACCGCACCAGCTAGTCAAAACGGAGCTTTTACCTCTTGATGAACGTCCACAAAAGATCCACCCAACAAGCGACAAACATCGTACGTGCATGTAACCACTAGCTAACTAACACGTTCCCGTTATCCCGGCTGGATACCAACCCGGGTAGCACCGCTTATGTCACACAGGCATATGGCGGTGATATGTCTGTCACATGGTTCATAGGGGTTCTGCTTTGAACCAGGGTTGTTTCCGGCTGATGGAGTGGTTGCATTCTTCAGTGCAGGGCGTCCACTTGGAATCGTAGGCGATATCGCTCAGATCATAAGTTTTGCTAAGTGCAAGGACCATACGGTCCAATTGGTCGGAGGTCATACCTTCGCCTTCGTTGAAGCCACAGGAGGCCTGGTCATTATACCACCGCATCATACGGTTTTCACGGCCGGCGGACTGACGCTTGAGTTCGGACACTTCATGAAAGTCTGGCGTCTGGAATACGTCCTCGAATTGAACCACCCGGACGCCCGTGCCGAACAAAGAATACGGATTCCAGTTTGCCTGCTCACGCACCAACGTCATCAACGCACCCGGCAGACTCCAACCTGGCACAGGTCCATTGGCAAAACCAACCAATTCACTTCACCAGACAGATATATAACAGGGTGAATCTCTGGTCAGTTCCAGGTGGTCGGGGAGATGGGGGGGGTGGTTGGTACTCTTTGTCCTCGGGAAGGATGGTCTTTTTAGGTGGAAGGGGCCGCAAGTTGCGGTGGAACATCTTGACCGGTTTCGAGTGGAAGGGGGTACGCAGTTGGTGTGCCGAGGAAACACAGCTACCGGCAAAGGGTTTGTCGCGCCGGAAGGAGCCAAAACCGAACTTTTCCTGGATCTTGAGCAGCGGCGACTTGAGCATTGACACGATCCCGCTTCGTTCTTCGCACTCTTCCAAAATCGGGTCACATTCATACCGCGGCCGCACCGACGCAGGTAAGCCCAACGTCGAAGACGGCATTCGCAGCGCAGAACTGGTTACGGCCGTGGACATCCGCGGTCTGGATGACACACTACTGGCCGCTGCAGAAACAGTAGTGGCGAAGGTGTGACGTAGCTCAACTTTAAGCCCAACTTGGAACCCGCAGGTCGTGGGTTCGAATCCCAATGGGGGGGGGGTTGGTGTGGCATACAGCAGGAGTCTTGGGGAGGGTACCAGCCCGTGGGGTCTTCTTCTTCTTCCTCTTCGGTGGGAGGGAGTTCTTTGACAGTTCTTTGTTCTGTGGTTCTGCGAGTTTCAGTTTGGAATATGCTGGCAGCGGCGGAGGCGAGTTTAGGAGTCATCTTAAGTTCAGTGAGTCGACGTATCTGGAGTTCAATTTTGTCGTGTTTGAAATCGTTGGAAGGTGTCGTAGAATTGAAGGCAATACTACTGGTGCGTTTCTGTCGTGAAGTCGGGGGCAAGAAAGCCTCATCGATGGCCTTCAGCTCCGCGGCCATTGTCTCTAATCTCATCACGTTCTGTACCCGTAATAGACTGCGTGTTGCCGCTGTACGGCCGCCCTCGATCACGCGCTCCGCCGCCTCATTGTACGCCGTAGACTTGGTCTCGATCAACTCCAACATTCGCACTGTGTCGCCGCACTCGTACGCCTCCAACAACAAGGCCTTCCGCTCATTGAACTCCACTTCAGCCTCCTCAAAAAACGTCGTCAACCTGCGACGACCAAGTGTCTGTGTATCACCCAAGTGTCTGGGTATCACACCCAAGTGTGTATCACTTGGGTGTACTTGGGCAGACTTTCCGCGTGCTGTGTGTACCTTGAAACGAGGTCGCCGACCACCGACTCTACCAACGAGCAGCAGGAATATAGCGACGCACAGGTCAGGCCCGCCACCCGCTGGTACAGGTCCTCCGTGGGGTCCACCGCGGACGAAGGCGTGTTCATTTTCGAAGAAACGATTTTCAACCAAGTCGAAACCGGGACTTCCGCGGTTCGAGTCGAGCAAGACCCGGCGAGGACACCTCGGTGGATTGAGGCCGGGTGAGGATCAAGATGGCCACTGAGCCCCGCCAGATCGACGCCTCGCTAGGCAGATGGAGGTCACAGAAGATCTGCCGCCAACTTCCCACGCTTCTTAGAAGGCACGACCCGCTGGGGGGGTGAGCGTAATTATACAATCATCATCGTCATCTACTGTTATAATGACAGAAGACGTTGTGAGAAAACCGTTACGGTGGCGAGGGGGTGGAGAGACTACCACCAGGGGGGTTAGGGGCCCGGTTTGAAGTTTGGCCGCGAGTCCTGGTCCCGGAACCGGTGAGACGATTAGGTCGGTATAAAATGTGCGACAGAATATGAGCTCATCAGAAGAGTCAATGAGCGTGGCTTCGAGCCAGAGCGGGATCGAGAGTCCCGCAGCGAGCAGTCCGGGTAGCGTGGGGAGTCCGCGCAGCTCGGGTGAGGTGGCGGCGGCAGGTGGCAAGTCCTTGTGGGACGTGCTCTGTTGCCGTGCGCCAAAGTCGGACGTGGACACGGAGCTGGCGATGGACCGGCTGGATTCACAAGGGTTGCCTAAGCAGGAGGGCAGTGTCGAGTTGGAGCGGCATCTTTCGGAAGACGGCATTCCCCAGCCCGCAGAGACGGCCCCACCAGAACCAGTTGTTGAGGCGACACCGGAGCCCGAGACCCCGGGTCTGACGCAGCAAGAGTCGGTGGTGGAGGGCGAAGAGGCACTGGCCAAAGCGGCCTCGGCGACTGATGTGGGTGGAGGAGGCGGTTTCGGCTTCTTGCAGTGGTGCTGCAAGCCATGTACAAACACGGCCGACGACGAACTGACTGTGGAGCCACAGGGCACCGGACTAGACATGGTGGAAGGTGGGGCCGAAGGCTTGGGAGAAGGTGAGGCGGAGCCGGGAGCTGATTTGGGTACGGATGTGCCCACAGATGTCGTGTCCGGAACGCCCGCGGACATCACGGCGTCGCCAGTTGCGGCTACGGATGTCTCGTCAGCGTCAGCAGCTGCGGCGGAGCCGGCGGTGTCGTTGCCGATTCCGCCGAAGGAGGAGACGAAACCGGCGCCTGCAGCGGCTGTGGAGGAGTCAGAAGGTAAGGGCTTGGAGGAGGCGACGAAGTACCAAGATTACAAGGCCCGTTTCCCGGAGACATCGGAAGCGGAATTGCGTCAATGGTCTCAAACAGAAGGATGTTACTTGGTCCTGGACGAGTCCAGCAACAAGTTTTACGCCAAGTGGAGTCGGTCCTCAGTGCCGAACGCGTTGGCGTTTTACACTATCCATCCGGATGTGCAAGCGCCGACGCGTGCACTGGACGCAGGCGAACGGGTCAACTTGTTGGTCGAACGTGGCGCCATCAAGAAATTGCTCAAAGCCGCAGTTGTCGGATTCTGCAAACAGGCTGCCAAGTATGACGGCTACTTCTCACTCCTCAATACAACACTCTGGTCACGCGCCGGACTCGGCAATCTCGAAGTCGTTTGGCTCTGTGCAGACGAGTCTCTCGTCTTCTGCAAACGCGATACCCCGCCCATCAATCTCTCTGCCACCGCACCCACCGTCATTGGAGCTGTCGACAACTCTTTCCGACTCCAAGGTGTTTCCAAGTCGAAACGCAAAATCACGCCGCGGTGGTCAAAATCCTCGTTCGTCAACACCGTCCGCTCCATCACGGACTCCTCGGTTGCCGAACTCGATCCAAGAACCAAGGCGCCCCGCAAGGCGTAGCTTTTTCGACCCAACATATGCCGCGCACACGTGGTGCCTGCAGTGGTACCTCCACGCACTCTGGCGTACGTAATCTGCAGCACAGACCAGGTCTGTGCTGTATAGGTCTGTACGACACAATGTGGTCGACACAATGTGGTCGACACAGTGTGGTCGACACAATGTGGTCGACACAGTGTGGTCGACACAATGTGGTCGACACAGTGTGGTCGACACAATGTGGTCGACACAATGTGGTAAGAACAGGCCTATCTGGGGGTGATACCGAGCGGTGCGGCACAGGTGCATCAC